TGTAAAGTTTGCTTGGTTTTGTCTCCAATATGGCCGTGATAATCGTGTGCCCGCTAGTGGGAGGTTTATAAACGCTAGCACATGTCGACATGTTAGTGATAGAACCGGTTCGCTTGTGGCCCTACTAGTGGGGATTATACACTAGTAACTTCTGTAGCCTGCCAGTGGGAGGTTTATAGCACTGGCCATAACTAATAGAGGAGACCACTACGTGATTTTTTTTTGCATTAATGATTTGTTATTGAAACGCTCTGTTCTTGAAACGTTTTGTTCTTGAAATGCTTTGTTCATGTTTTAAACCGATTATTTGGCATGCTTTTAAACTTTGATGTCGGGCCCCCATGTTTACTTACTGAGATATTTTTATCTCACGGTTTCCTTGTCCACCATTTCAGGTAGTGAGACCCGACGCGTGGGAAGCCCGGGGGAGTGACGAGCTAGACGGCTAGGCACTTTTGGACTTAGTTTTCGTAGCTAAGCCATTAGTCACCCATGCTTGACTTAGAAATTTTTGTGTACAGAACCGCCTTAGTTATGGTCACGGTTGTGTAAATGAAGTTATAAATCTTTGTACATTTTGACAAGTAAATAGTTGGAAAGGAAAAGAAATTAGATATTACCTGAGTTTCTAAATCTGAGTTAGTGATATGAACTTAGTAAGTTCCGAGCCTTGTGCATTTGTGGGATCCCCTCACAAGTGCACAGCGTCTGCCACGTCCCCGGATTGGGTTCTGGGGCGTGACACAAAGAAAGACGCAAGTGGGAGAAGTCACGCAAAATAGATGAACAAGGAGCAAGGGCTTTCATCAATGCCAAGATGCAGCAAACAAGCGACATATGTGAGTAGGAAGGAAATTGGAGAGTGCAGGATGCAAATTAAGAATAGGGTTCTTTTTATTTTGGTAATTGAAATTGAAAATAATTGAAAAAAGAGGAATCTGACGTGAATTAAAATTGCAACTAATGATGATGTAGCACAAACTACATTGGATCAGCTTTTATTTGGCTTGGAAATAGTCATTTTCCTTAACATTTTCCCAAAATTTAATGCTGAACAAACACATGTAGCATATGACATTAAATCTCTGTTACTCAATTACGCATGTAACATGTGACATTATGCATTAACACCGCCTAGACATGTGAAATTTACATGTTGGCATTATCAATTTTGATAATTTAATTAAAAAAACCTTCAGTTTATCAATTTACAACATGGGCCCTTTTCACTTTGTCTTTCAAACTCACTAAATAAAAAAAATATAAATTCTTATTAAACTCATTTATGAACTATAAAAATCCTAAATGAAAATTTTTAAAACAGTATATGTAATTTCTTTGTTTATTGTTAAGGTGGTTCCAAATCAGTTTATGCTCACCACAAATAAGCTTGGTGCATTTAAAGAAATAAATTTCCTTAAGTGCTAACCCCAAGACTGAAACCCTAAATTTATCCTACAAAATAACATTTACTTACTAATAAATCTAATTCTTAAGGTTAAAACAAAATATGTTATTAAATTAAGAAAATAATGCATATCAACTAACTATAATAAAAAAATTAGAATCTCAACTTAGAAAGCATGACTCTCAATGAAAAATTTAAAAACCTACTTTATAGATTATTTATGTTAATCATCTAACATTTATAATCATTAGTCAAGAAAATATATTTTTTAACATATATTTAATTATATTAAAATTTATGTAACCAATAAGCTAATTGGATATATTTAATTTAGACCAAAACCCCTATTTGCACCCTCCATTTATTTTCTTTCCATGGTCAGCACCTTACATAAATTTTCCTCCTGATCAACACCTTCCACTTTTTCAAACCCGTAAAAAACCCAATATTTTAATAGCAACATTAATAACTGTTAAAAAGTGTAATATGTTGCACCTAAACAATGACGTGGACATTATGTGACATTATAAATCCAATGTGAAACTTTTTTTTTAATGAGGTGGCATTAATTTTTCACATGTAGACACCATATGTGTAGTGGGGACCACTTGTTGGGGGAATTGCATTTAAACATAAACCCTAATTGATGGTTTCTGGATTAATTTCAGTTGAAAGACATGGCATTGAAGCCGTTAGGGGTGTACAAACACTACCCTTCGTGCATGGCATAGAGTCGATTCCGGAACCAAGGGGAATCAGACGTGAATTTTGACTAGTTCAAGTGGTCGTATTGTCGGATGAGGAGTTCAAGCTCCGAGACCCATAGGATATGGGGGAAAGAAATGGAGGCAAGGCTGAAGGGGATATCTTTTGATCGCACCAAATTGATGGTTCCTTAATTGAAGTTGGTAACTACTTTTGGCCTGTGACTTGATCGGCCCACCTCTCCTCCCTCTCCTGTCGCTTGTCATCTTTCTGTTTCTAGAGAGGACTCAGAGGATTCCTTCCTTTTCCTAGAAACTTTGGCCCTCCTCTATTAAAGAAAATAATAACAATAAATAAATTGCAAAACATTTCAACATCTTATCCTTTTCGATAATTCATTTAGGCAGCAATTAGGTTTTTTTTTTTCTTTTGTTCATGAATTTTTTTAAAGATTTTTTGTAATAATTGTCATCATTCCTTCGTAATTAATGAGACCAGTTTAATTTTTTTTTTTTTATCCATCAAATTGTTAAATATGAAAGAAGTATTGTTTCTAGTGAATTTGTTAATCGTTTTTGGATTAAGGTTTATGTTTAAAAGTGAGAAGAGAAAGGACTGCTACAGATTTGACCTTAAAGTTCCATGTTTTTATTTTTTGTCTTCTGTTTTTTTTTTTTTTTTGGTTGGGATGCAGGGACAAACGAGAAAGGCCCCCAATAGGTGGTCCTCATTGCATATGTGGTGTCTACGTGTGCAAAAATAATGTTATGTCATTAAAAAAAGGTTTCACATTGAATTTATAATACCACTTAATGTCCACGTCATTGTCTGAGTGCCACATATTGTACTTTTTAATGGTTATTAAAGTTGCCATTAAAATATTAGGTTTTTCATGGGTTTGGAAAAGTGGAAGGTGTTGATCGAGTGAAAAAATTATGTAAGTTGTTGACTGCAAAAAATAAAATAAAATAAATAGAAAGTGCAAATAGGGGTTTTGGCATTTAATTTATTTAAAAAGTAACATGCATACCATTAATAGATTATTGTATCAAACATTTAGGTTTTCAAAATATTCAGGAGAGGGGAAGGCTTTTAAAGTTTGAGACTTTAAGTTTTTATAAGAGTTGGACTTATATATAGTATTATCCCAAATTAATTAAAATTTAAAATAAATTACTAATTAATTCAACAATTATTTATTAAACAGATTTTTTATTTGATTTTATTTGTGTTTTATTTGATTAAATTTTAATTAATGAATAACACTATTAAACAAATGAAACAAAAATAAAATCAAATCAGAAAATCTATTTAGAAGGGATTTGTCATCTCTATCTTCTTGTTCTCCTTATGGGTTCTATCTCTTCTAGTTTCTTGTTCCAATGTTTGTGTTCCTTTTCCTATTGCTTCCTCATTCCATTCCCTTCATTACCACATAAGCTCTAATCCAACAACAATTAATTTCTCAACTTCCATAATCCCATAAAAACAAATCATTATTTGTTCTCTATAGAATTATTCAAGAAAAAGAAGAAACCCAAGGAATGTTGTCTATATCTCACCTTTGAATGCAACAACCTCTCTGAGGCTAACAAACTTAGAAGGGAACTTAATAAACGTTTTAAACCCTAGTGGAAATGGGCTTGGGAATAGGTATTTTGGGGTAGTGAAAAAATTGTTGGGTGTAAGAAAGTTGTTTGAGAAGCTATCATAACTATGAAAGAGAAGAACTAAAAATAATATATTACTATAGATATAAGGATTACAATCGAGGATGTGGTGTTGCTAGATTTGGAGAGTAGATCGAGTCGTTAGTGCCAATTAAATGACTTTTTTTTTTTTTCTTTTTTCAAATTATAAGTCAATGTGGGGCTTACAATTAAATTGTATGGCAATAGAATTCCTACTCATAAGAGATCCAAACATTGGCCAATGAGTAAAAAATGTCCAACATAGCACTAATACATTCTTATATAACAAAGGCCAATGGTGCACATACTGCACCCATCCAACGTTCAACTTTACTTATTACCTTAAACTTGAAAAAATAAAGGGTAAAAATTTATATTATATATATTATACCAATGACCTATTATATTATACTAATGACCTATTATATTATACTAGTGACCTATTACATTATACCAATGACCTATTGGTATGAGTGGAGGGAGCTTGATTTTCTTTAAACAAGGTTTTTAGTTTTAGTTTAAGTCATGTGAATGGAGAAACATATATTGCGAGAGCTTCCCCTTTTATGGGATTTGATGAGGCTCAACTCTAGATTAGTTAAGGTTTAATGTGGCTACTAGATACTAGGGGATTAGTATAAAAAAAATTTATATATTATAAATTGAGGGGGTAAAAACCCTTAAACCCAAAAAGTTCAAGGACAAAGTGGGAGGCAAGGTGCACAATTATCATAGTTAATTTTATGATACAAGTCTTTGTTGGTGTTTTATCATTCCTCTTCCTCTAATTTTTCTATGTTCAAAAAATACAAATAATTTCACAATAAAAAAAAAAGAAAAGAAAAAGAAACAAAATAAGTATTCCACGTTGAGATGGAACTTTGAATGTGATTGGTATGTAAGTGTAGGACCAATCATTACTAACAACATGAGTTTAAAGCTTTTGACGGTTTATGGACCTTAACTTGAACAGTTGTTAAGCTTGTGATAATATTTGAGTTGGGCCACTTTAAGAAGTTCAACTTTGATGGTCCATGCCTCACCTCTCCACAATAAGTTTAAGGAGATTTACAATACTAACAAGGGAGTTTGGCTAAATTGATTAGTACTAATTTAAAAATCTTGAGAAATTTAAACCCCATTTGGTATGGTGGTTTGAGAATAATGATTTTGTCTAAACTACTAAAGGTAAGAGTTTGGTAAACTTATTTTAAAATTACTACAAACTAAATGTTTAGTAAAAATTTTTATTTAGCAATTTAAGATTAGTGGATAACAGTTAAGATATGAAATCATTAGTGGATTGACAAAAGCTATCTTAATTTTTGGTACCAAACCTTTAACAGATTGAGATTTTTTTAATTTTATTGACAAATTTATCTATTTTAATTTAAAAAATTTTTTACCATAGTTTTTAATTTGTATTTATTTAATTAGTTTCAACGTCATTTTTTCTCTTTAATAATATTAAGTGATTAGTATATTTTTATTTTTAAATTAATTTATCATAAAAAATTATATTAGCTTAATAAATAAAATTTTCTAATTACATAAAACGATTAAAATTTTATTTTTTCTTTATTTAAAAATAATATAAATTTTTTTGTAAAAAATAAAACTAAGTATGTGATTATACTTTTATTCTTTATTTTATTTATTTATTTTCTTCTTATTATTTTTATAAAAGTAATAATTTTAGTAATAAAAAATATTAAAAATACACTTAATTATTTTTAAATGTGTTTTTATTAATCATTTAACATTAAATAACAACTGCTAACTATTATATAATCAAATAACTATATCAATCGAAATTTACTATCTACTATGCTTATTTTTCACTAATTGTTATCTGCTACCTACTATCATTATTTGCTATCATTATCTACTACTTGTTACCCATTATCTATTATCTACTAAATTTTAACCACTTAACCAAATATGTCCTTACAATTGTTTTAAGGTAAGTTTAATTTAAACAATACCAACAAGAGTTTAGCCTAGTTGATATCCACTAACTTAAAAAATTTAATTTGAGGTTAAGGTTAGAAGTTTAAATCCCTATACTTCCAAGAAGTTAGCGCTCCAAT